CCCCCCCCATCTCTTTACGTTTATACACAGCTCTCATTACTGAGGTTGTTAAAAACCATTCAGATGCCACAGGGCTTTCACGTAACCTTAATAATCTTCATCTTCCCCAACAGATCAAGCTCCAGTGCGAGACAGAACCATTTCATGTTTCACTGACCTCTGATAGGCCTATTACAGAAGAACCATAATTGCTTTACATTACTGCCCAACACATTTAGAATGATGCTAAATCTGTTGAGTATGAGTTCATTGTGTTTGCATTATTACCTGTCGTTTAACAGGCTCTGGCAGCCTCTTCTCCAGCAGTCCCTCCATTGGCTGCTTTGCCTCCTTGGCTGCCTCCTCTTCTCCAGCTTCCACTGCCTTGCCCTCTGTCCGTTTAAGTCCTTCCTTGTCTGGGTGACCTGCGACTCCCCCCTTGCGTGTCTCTCTGAAGACATTTGGGTCGATGAGTAGTAAAATCTTCTGAACATCCTCGCTCCCTAACACCCCCATAGTCAGTAAGGTGCTAATGAGCTTCAAGATTGGCACAAACTGATACTCCACACCGCCTCCCACAGGATCCCGAATGTGATGCCCGCCTCCATGAACAGCCTCTGTCAGCATTGAAATCGCCTTCTCCTTTAGTACATCTAGGGGCATTTGGGGACTGTACAAATACTCCCGTTTGGTGCTGATGAAACACGGCGGGGTAAAGTTGAGGCGGGGTTTTAAAGAGGTACTAAGCCCCACCCCGGGCAGACTGTGCTTTTTAGAAGCATCCGAAAAAAGCCGAATGGAGCGCGTTTCAGCCGTAACTGGAATGATAAACTCATCTTTCATCATGAGTCTTGCCTCCTTGGCCGTCTCCAAATGGATACTGATCAGAACATTGTAGAAGCCCTCGCGTAACATGCCAGACAGGTACTGGTTGTCGATGGTGTACAAGAGCTGGGACTGGTCCAAGTGGCTGCAGAGGGCGTGGGCCACACGCGTGTTTCCCAGAGCGCAGAGGGCGCAGTAGAGCTTCAAGGTGTGGTAGTGGAACATCCGCATGTCCTCCTGCTCAGACAGCTCCATGATGTCAACACACCTCCAAAAAAAAAAGAAAGGAAGCAGGTATTTACAATATATATATTCAGTTTATATCCTTTAACAACAACAATAAAAATATATTCTCTCTCCTAACAGCTCTCTTAAAGTCCTGCCACAGCATCTCAGAGAGCTCTGAAGTCTGACTGGGTATTTTTTGGACTATAAGGTGCACCGGATTATAAGCGAAACAAAACAGTCAGATTAGTCAAACTTTATTCAACTCATTCACACAACCCACATAAAATCTGTTCGAGATCTGTAAGCACAAACAGAATTCATACATGAGATGCACTGGATTATAAGGCTCACTGTTGATTTTTGAGAAAATTAAAGAGTTTTAAGTGTGTCTTATAGTCCGAAAAAAACTGTATGTTTCTTTGTTCCACCATATTTATTTGCAGACTGTCCCAATTAGTGTAAAGCTTCAGCTCTTGCACAAATGGCCTCAGGAATCAGGATGCATTTGACATTACAATACTTTAGTATAGATCAAACAAGACA